GACTCGAGGAGAAGATCGAACCAGTCTCGTAATGTACTGGATCGATCTGCTGAAAGAGGTGGAGCCGCAGGAAAACCTCAAGGTTCGAACACCGAGCAAGCAGCACATGAAACCAAGGCTGGGCCGGCCACCATGGGGCCAAGAGGACAACTCTTCCCTGGTAAGCTTTCAAGCGAGCTAGGACCTGGAGCAAGAGCGGAACCAGGAGGAAGAGGTACATGAACCTCAACCTCGACCAGTCCTGCCAGAAGGCATCGATTCCGAAGGTCTTGGAGTCGGGGAAGGGCGCCACATTTACAGGGAGATGCCTTGATCATGCCGACGCGAAGAGGTCCGCCTCCTGGTACCCGAACATCTGGCAGAGCTGAATGAGTCGGCATCGACCATCCATTCCGTGGACAGGGGAATGAACCGGGACAGGAGGACACCCCCGGACAGGAATAACCAGGAGAGCCAAACCCCGAGAACTTAGCAGATGAGTCACCCGAAACAACCAGCCCCAAAGAGCCAAGGACTACATCGAACCCCCTCAGTTCAGGCAATAAACCACCGGCAAGCAGTCCGAATGGAGCCGGATCGTCGATCCACTAGCGACCCAAACCCTCCGTAGCGAATACAACACCGCCGCAAACTACAGCACTGTGCTGTGGGCCCGATGGAAGGATGGACCCCACTGCCCCTGGCTGGCCTGGTGAGCACTGGTCACAAAGCCCCAAACCTAGAGACAACGCATCCGTGAACACGTTGAGCGAGGGCTCGGGTAGGTCCCAAGGCACTGAACCCTGAAAAGCCCGAAAAGGAAGCTGGCGACGTAGCAGCCGACGCAAGACTCCCCAGGGGTTGAACCCAGCGGTCGCGAGAAAGGTGGAAGGAACGTCCCCGTAGGAACCAGAACAGCCGACAAAGCCAAACCCAACCCAGTCGGTAGACCATCATTTTAAAGTTCAGGCTCTGGCACAAACCCTCGAGCAACCGCCGGGTGATCCGGAAGCCCCCCAGAAACAAGCACATGCGGGACTGCAGACGAAGGAGAGATTTCGGAGGGATAGACAAGGAAGCAGTCCCAGAGTCCCACACTATAAATTATGTGGAAAATCTTTAAAAGACTTCTAATAAAGAAAGAGATCTAGGGGTGGTTCTAGATAGGAAACTATCACCCAAGGACCACATAAAGAATGTTGTGCAAGGAGCCTATGCTACGCTTTCTAACTTCAGAATTGCTTTTAAATACATGGATTGTGAAATACTAAAGAAACTGTTCACAACTTTTGTTAGGCCAAAGCCAGAATATGCAGTGGTTGTATTGTACCCATATTTTAAGAGGCACAAGAGGCAAACTGGAAAGGGTGCAAAGACATGCTATTAAGTGGCTCCTGGAACTGAAGGGCAACAGCTATGAGGAGAGGTTAGAGGCATTAAATATGCCTAAACTAGAAGATAGAAAAAAAAGAGGAGATATGTTCACTGTATACAAAATAGTAACAGGAATTAATAAAATTGGAAAGGAAGGAGCGCAGGAGAACAGGCCCGCCCCACCAGCCTCAAACCCCCGAAGGGGAAGAAGCCACCTAACACCACCGCTGGCTGTCAAAACCAACCTGAAAAGTATACCAATTGTGAGACCAGGCGTGAACCCTCACACGGCCCCCCAGGAGAACCAATACATCCGACATCAGACAACAACAAGCGCAAGCCGCTTGCAGAAACTACCCAAACGCAGACTCCACAAACAGCAAGGGACAGAAAGGCAAAGAAAACATAAAAGCCAGGGGGCCCAGACAAACTGCTAGCCAGGACGACTCCAGAACCCCATAACAAACCCAGGGAGGAAACGAAGATCCAAACCTGAATGAACAATGATCCAAAATGGAGGGAAAATCCGGGTCATGCAGGAGGTAAGTCTATGTGGCTTCCTGCATCTCATGAGGCAGGAACGGGAAGCCGAAAACCTTCGGAAGGACGGGAACGATGGACCCAAAGAGACATGGAACCAAACCCGGGGAGGGGGCCGACACCAATCTAACTCGGACGAGGTGGAGGGGAAAAAGAAAACCCCATCTCTCGTAACAGCAAACCCTGCTCAAAGGGCATAAAAACCCAGGCAGGGTCTAACGGGGCCCAAGACCCCCAAGGCAGCCCCTCCCCTGCCCCGGGAACCCCCACAGCAGGACCTGGGGCTGAGCAGTCCCCCCAAAGCCCCGGCCTCACAAGAAAAGGCCAGGGCAGCTGGAAAAACACTAAGGAAGGAGGCCCAGTGGTCAGACCAATACGCATCGGCTGGGGGAATTAGGTTCGAATGCCTCTGTCGCCACCCCGGAAGGGGCATCCCAAGAGACTGCCCGAGTCACCAACCCAACTAAACCCTGCCCCGACTCCGAAACCCTCAGATGCTTCAGAGCCGAAAGTAGGGAAAGGGATGAAGACCAGAAGGAACCACAGCAGGAGAAGGATGAGAGGGAGTGGATGGAACCAAGGTCGAAACGACTAACACCGCCAAGTCCCGGTCCCTAGAACCAAAACAGAGCAGAGTTGGGGATTCAGAGTCAGCATCCACCCAAGTACATTGCAGCAACCTAAACCTAGCATGCAACGCCTGAGGTGTCTGCACTCGGCAGGCAGGTGGGCAAACAAGTGGGCGCCTGACAGCTGAGTGGACAGCGCTTCGTATTCGTAGTCTTGAGGTTCCGGGTTCGATCCCCGGGGGAGGCGGTGACAAATGGGCAAAAAGTTTCTTTTGCCCTGATGCCCCTGTTCACCAAGCAGTAAACAGGTACCTGGGAGTTAGATAGCTGCTACAGGCTGCTTCCTAAGGGTGTGTAACAAAAAGGAGGCCTGGTCATGGACCGGGCTGCGGAGACGACAAGCCCCGAAATCATCTCAAGATAACCTGAACAGAGCCATTTGTGAGAGCCAACTGTGGACTGGGTGTACAGTCACAAACAAGCAACAAAATCCACAGGAATCAGGGTCGAAAGTGCCACTGACCCAGCAGGCAGCATGATAGAGGCAGAAGCGGTGAATGTCACCCGGAGACAAGGGGATAGAGCAGCCTTCAAACGTACACAATGCAAGAGGGGACTCGGGACACATCCAGTGGACCCAAGTGCCCCCACGGGGTTTCCCAGGGCCCCTAGTTGTGTTATCTCGCTAAGGAAAGCCCAGGCAGGGTACTGCTAAGCAGAGCCCACAAAACTACCAAGCAAACTTTGCTGAAATTTTTGCTGAAATAGAGGGAATACAGAGAACATATACGGCACGCATAGACGAGATAAAGCACCTAAATTATTGGGATTGTCTCAATGCACTCCAAATGTACTCACTAGAAAGGAGACGAGAGAGATACCAAATAATAAATACATGGAAAATACTGGAGGGACAGGTCCCAAATCTACACAGTAAAATAACAACGTACTGCAGTGAACGATATGGAAGAAAATGCAAAATAGAACCAGTGAAGAGCAAAGGTGCCATGGAAACAATCAGAGAACACTGTATAAACATCAGAGGTCTGCGGTAGTTCAACGTCCTACCAGCGAGCATCAGAAATATTGCCGGAACAACCGTGGACATCTTCAAGAGAAAACTAGGTTGTTTTCTTCAAGGAGTGCCGGACCAACCGGGCTCTGATGGGTATGTGGGCCTGCGGGCTGCTCCAAGCAACAGCCTGGTGGACCAAACTCTCACAAGTCAAGCCTGGCCTCGGGCCAGGCTTGGGGATTAGAAGAACTCCCAGAACCCCATCAAGCAGGTATTAAACTTGCTACAGCTGAATTTCCAGGACGTATACACTTGCAGGGGCCTAGTGGAGGACCACCAAAACTATAAGGGGTGTGACCAATCCGAAGGGGCAGACCCCCACCAGGCAGGAAAGAAAAAGAAAACCCCGCAAGAGGACAACGTACCCAGGCGAAACAGAGCCAGGCGCTATGAGAGGTGACAACTAGCTGCACAGTACCCTGCGCCCCAACCAGTGACGAAAACTATCCCCCTACCCAGAGTAAAACAGGGTAGAAACAACAACCCCAGCCAACTCCAAGAGCGGTCAATCACTGAGCAGCAAAAGACACAGTGGAGGTAGTTCCCAAGGAGACTTGTGGAAGGTAATCCCCAAGCCACCAAGGGCAGTACTTACAGGGCACCTAAGGAAGGTAACCCTAGGTGCATGCAGCACGAGTACTGAAGAAATTACTCCTGCCTTGCATACAACTGAAGAGACAGCGCCACACCACAAGGAATAGAACTCAAATATGCTGGAGCCAGAGGCACACGAACCTGCCAGTATCACATCAGCCACAGAACTAAGGGGTGGATAATCGAGGGGGGAAGGTCTGGGACTCCCCCTTCCCCCCTCCCCGGAAGGGGGGAAGGGGGGTTGTGCAGATGGCGGCACGGCGACATGATGACGTCATGCTAGTTTCAAATTTTTGTTTGTGGAGTTCTGTCCACTCATTTGGTTTTCAGTAACAATAGTTTCACCAGAATAGGGGGTTTGTTTTGGGATGCCTACCTTTCTGGGTGTCAGACCCGGTGGATGGCAGACATAGAATGCTTCCAACCACATGGGGGGTTTCTATAGGCCATTGCTCCTCGTGCCTCTCTGATGGGGCCAGGTTCTGGCTCGTGGCCCCTGATAGGCCTAGAACTCCTTGCACTTGACTGATGCCAGGGACTAATATATTCATATCAGCCCGGATAGCTCCAAGGAGCCGACGGGGCTCTCCCCAGAAAAAGAGAAAAATCAATCATGGACATTGAAATAATTAAGTAATAATATCTTGATGGCAACTTCCGCCTGACAGCTCGGGCGGAGCAGACCTCTTTTGACACTTACTCTGTCAATGCCTCAGTTTTGTCAAACTTCCTCGCCCTATTGCGGCCAAAATATGTCACCTACGATTTTTTTCCCCGTGATCAGGAACACAATTTAACAATCTTAGAAGTAAAAAAAAAAATTTTTTTTTTTTTGCTTGCAAGCTATAACCCCAAACGCCTTCCAAGGGTTAAGGTGCTCTGTGCAGTGCAGTGGTTAAAACATACCTTTGTTTTGTTAATTCCAGCTCTTCTTGAATAGCATCCTTCTCCTTTGAAATCTCAACAATTCTAACAACCAATTTATTGTTGTCAAAGTTTGTATTTGAATCAGCTAGTAATGCTTCAAGTTGTTTTTTTTCTGCCTGAAAAAAAAAGTAGATATATGTAAATCAGCTGCTGATATTCCATAAGAAAAAATATTTATGCCATCTCAACACAGTTGTACAACAACGATGACAAAACCCTTTTTCTCAAACCCCCTAAGCCCTACTGACGCTATCTCTGCTACACGAGCACTATCCTCATAGTTAAAACTCAGTATTGACTATTTAACAACCATTGCACAGAATCATGTTCATTCTACAATTTTTTTTTAAATATCATTACAGTTTAATAACCCCTGTACTGCAAGGCAGTACAAGGGCAATACATGACAACTCCATTGTGTGCTTAATAAAATTATTCCCAACAAATGATTTTTCTTTCTATTGTTAAAATACGTCCCCTGAACACGGGAAACTAAAAAACCAGCGTTGAGTGTAATGAAATGCCATTTTCTGGTTGGGATCCGGAGGTTCTCCGGAGCTATACCGGGCTGATGTGCATATATTAGACTGTGGCAACAGTTAATCGATGGAGTTCTAGGCCTACCGGGGACCAGCGCCAGAATTTGGCCCCCCACAGAGAGGCACGAGGAGCAATGGCCTATAGACACCCCCCCATGTAATTGGAGCAGTCTATGTCTGCCAGCTACCAGGTCAGGCACCCAGAAAGGTAGGAATTCCAAAACAAACTACAGCTGGTTAAAAATTGCAAATCGAAAGCCGAACTAGCAAAAGAACTCCCCAATCGAAAATAGGCATGATGTCACCACAGCCACAGCGCCGCTGTCTGTGCAACTCCCCCCTCTCCAAAACGCAAAAAAACACCAACCGGAGGGAGGGATGCCGGGAAGCCTCTGGGTCTCACCCAGAAAATGGGGTTTCATTAACCCTTTAAGCACGCAACACATATGATGGGCTGAGTAACTTGCAATAACTTGCGCTTCCCATCATATGATGTATCGGAGTACCGCGCAGGATTTGAACGGACCACGGGGTAGAGGGGGCCCCCAAACGCTGCCCAGAGGCTATAGTAAACAGCCGCCATTTTGTAAAAAAATCTAGCTCACGCTACCATCGTGTGGGAGGCATCAGTTACGCAGCAGCCATCATGTCGAGCGCACAGCCGAATGCTTCCCGGGCGCGCACCACGCAATCACTCACCCAAGAGCAAATAACTAGTGAATTATTTTCTGATGGTGAGGAAAGTGATTTTGATGACTCTGACAGCACTGATAAAGACTACATACAACTGACCGATGATAGTAGCACGGACAGTGAAAATGAGATACAGCCGCCTCCCATGGCGAGACCTATACGCTCACCCATGCCACCTCGCCCAGTGTCTACTCCAATTCACCCACGACCACACAGTTCCTGTGCTTATTTAGAGTCTGAGGATATTTTGGTGACGAGTCAGAGGAAGGTGACTCTTTATCTGGTTTTAGTGAAGTGGAATCAGAACATAGTGTTACCGAGCCTGGTGCCAGTACCAGTGGTGTTACTGGGCGAGAATTTGACGCGCCAGCAGCATCTCGTCCAGCCAAGCGCCACCGCATGGAACAACATGAGGCACCAAGAGCCTCATGTTCACGTGCTTCCACGTCATGTGCACGTAGCAGCCGTACTGGTCCACGGTGTGCATTGCTTCCTCGCCGTCGTGCCCCTGTTGCGTCTCGCAGGACACCAAGTGTACTAGTGTGGAGTGATGGTGCTGGTTTTATTCCTCAAATTCCTGCCTTTGACAATAAATATGTTGGGATTACAGAGCTTTTCCCTGATAATAGAGACGATATGTGTGAATTGGATTATTTTACAGCATTCTATGATGAGCTGCTCATGGAATATATTGTACACCAAACGAACCTTCATGCGGCTCATCTCATTGGAAAAGAGAACAAAATTTTCACGATTGCAATGTTGGAAAACCACCAATGTAGGTGAAATGTATGTGTTTTTAGCAATATGTATGTTGATGAAACACTGTGTCAAACATGCTATCACAGATTACTGGCACAAAGATCTGACTATTCCAACACCTTTCTTTGGGAAATATATGTCCCGAAACAGGTTTCAGATACTCCTCAGGTGTCTGCATTTTGCAAGTAATGAGGACTGGACAGAGGATGATAGACTTTGGCAAGTGAGGCACTATATGAATGCAGTGATTGGAAAGTTCAGAGATTTTTACATACCAGCACAGAAGCTGGTGATTGACAAATCCATTGTGCTTTTCAAAGGACGTGTTTCATTCAAGCAGTATATTCCCTCCAAGCGAAACAGATTTGGATTGAAATTCTTTGTTCTTTGTGACTGTGAAACAGGATATGTGTTACACATGATTCTGTATTCAGCAAGCGATGTAGACATTCCCGGTAATGACGAACATGGTTTCTCGGGTAGTGTGGTGAAATCACTGATGGCACCATTGATGAACAAGGGCCACATCTTATACACAGATAACTACTATACAAGTCCATTGCTAGCTAGGTTCTTGATTGAAAATAGAATCGGACTGGTAGGCACAGTAAAGCCACGAAGAAGGAAAATGCCAGTGTTTGACAGTAGACTTGCAGTTGGTGAGTGCCAGCTACGAAAATGTGATCAAATACTCTCGGTTCGGTGGAAAGACAAGAGAGACGTGAACATGCTGACAACCGTTCATGATGGTACAATGGTGAACAGTGGCAAGGTGCACCGTGTAAGGAAAGAACCAGTATATAAGCCAGATGGTGTTCTTGACTATAATATCAACATTCATTTCATTGATAAAGCTGACATGGTTGGCACTATCGAGTGTGTGCGGAAAACATTGAAATGGACGAAAAGAGTGTTTTCCATCTTGTTGACATGAGCATGCTGAACTGCTATAATATGTATCTGGTGAAAACTGGACGTAAACCAAGTTTTCGTGCGTTTGCTTTTACACTTGCGACACAGTTATTAGCAAAGTTTGGTAAAGATGTCCCTGGCATACAAAGACCAATTATGAATCCAGTGTTGCAGCATGCTACTACACCCAGGCTCGCTCACATGGAGGCCTTTCAGCAACACAGACTAAAACATTTGCCACCAGCTGGCAAGCGTGCCATAGGCCAATGTGAATGCCTAGTATGTAAAACAACAAAAAGGAGAGATCAGAAACATAGTGGTACAAACATGGTGTGAAGCATGTGCAGTTCCATTGGGTAGACTGCTTCAATGACTACCACTCTCTCCAAGTCTTCTAAATGTGCAATAATAGTGCAAAAACCTGTACATAGTGCATGCTTGTGTGTAAATATAATAATGAACATTGTGATTACAAAATATATTGGCGTAATGGAAAACATTTGTGTGCGCATGTGTATACTCGATGTATGCAATATTTATTGGCAATGACCATGATGTAACTTTATATGCAACACAATGAGTGACTAATATTGGTAATAAAATATGCCTAGACACTGTAAATAATGACGCGAAAATAAATTCGTGGCAACTGTGGCTGCTTGAAGACCGCGCGCGACGCCTCCGGGACGCACCGTGCATGAGCGATCATGCAAGGTGTGACGCCCATATTGTCGGCTCAATTACGTCATTGGTAAGTACAATTGAATTTTTTTTTCTCGTGGTCAGGCAACACGACTTAACAGGTTAGGATGAGTTTTTTTTTTTTTTTTTTGTATGCGCCTGTGAGTGACAAATGAGTGACAAATGCTAATTAGCCCAGAGCAACACAAGGGTTAAACTCAATGCTGGTTTTCTATGGAGAGCCCTTTCGGCTCCCTGGATCTACTTAACCAAAGATAAAGGAAAAGAGGAACGAAGACGGGAGGCGACCACCAATCACTCCTCAGCTCGAAGTCGAAACAACTGGCTGCAACTTGCGACCTAAGGCAACACACACCCGAGAAGGGCTTGGAACATTAACCACTGCACTGCGCCAAACGACAAATGTCTTTTCCCATTACTGCGCCAACCGAAGGAAATATTTTTTATTTTTCGTACACGGTCAAAACGCACTCACAGTAGGTTAGGTACGAAATGGACTCTAGGGACCTCTAGTGAGAGGCAGCCATCTTGGAAAAAATTCCCAGTATGTCCTAGGGCTGCTGGCTGGATTTGTACTGACTGAGCAACTATGGGTGGCGCACGCATCTCTGGCTCCCAAACACCTGTCCGACACAGTGTTGAAAGATCGCTCTCTGTCGGTGAAATTCAGAACTTATTGCTTGAAGAACATAAGGGTCATGATACTGATGAAGCTAGGCGCAATAAGGACCTAACACAAAGGTCGGATGCAAGTGATACAGCACCTATTAGGACGATACAGCGAGTGTATCCAGTTGTAGCTCTGATCGCCACCTTCGCCCACCTATGCCATCTCCAATTTATATAGATGACTCGTTTTCTGGGTTCAGTGACGATGCATCTGATACAAGTAGCATAGATGAACAGTGTTAGCAGTTTCCATGGTGGTGTTTTTCATAGATATTTTCAAGAATAGCTGAATCTCTTCCAGAATGGCTAAATCCTTTTCCAGATTGACTGAACTCTCAGAGAATGACTGAATCTCTTCCAGTCAGGAACCTTACAAAGCAATCTTTTCAAGACTACCTTTCAAATTGATCTTTTCCAATAATCTTTTAAAAGACTACCTTATGCTTTACAAGCTTGGCTACATATCACCTACAAGTACTAAAGCCAAGGATGTACGCGACTGCATTATTTGCAAGCACCCAAAACAAAGAAATAGGAAGCAAAAAATCAGCGTTGAATGTAATGAAACGCCATTTTCTGGGTGAGCCCCGGAGGCTCCCTGGAGCTTATCGGGCTAATGTATGTTATATTAGACCGGGACATTAGCTATGGAGTTCAGACCTACCAGGGACTAGCCCCAGAACCTGGCCCCTTCAGAGGTTTCAGGGAGCAATGGCCCTGGAAAACCCCCTTGTGGTTGGGGGTTTTCCTTATCTGCCATTGACCGGGGTTAGGCACCCAGAAAGGTAAGCATAACAAAACAAACATCACATGGTAAGAAACTAAAACAAAAAACTGAA